CCGGGGATAACCAAGTACTTCCCTCTCGTTTCTGCATGTCTCCATCGCACTGTCAAAGACTTGACGATGACGTCCTAAGTCTACGTCGCGCACCCAACGTCACCGTCGACGGGTACCTGCTGTCCCTGATACCATACCTCGCAAGCACGATCAGAGAGCCAGCCGGTCGTCGGGCTACCTTGTGTGCTATAGATCTTGAAATCAACGGGCCCCTCCAAGGCATGGCCCTGCACCACGGGATGCAGGTAAACTTGACTCTCGCGGGAGACTCGGAACCGAAGGATCTCACCAGTCCTACGTGGTGTTCTCGAGGTCGTGTTTTAATAAAGCATTGCCCTGCGACAAGAGAGTGCCGTTTACTATCAGGCGTGCCAAAGGGACCTGACAAAGTATTCAGAGCCAAAAACGTACTGGGACGTAGTAATCCGCGGAGTCAGGATTAATAGATAAGGATGCCTCTGTTACAGTTAGGTTAAATGGTAATAGAGTCCGCGTGGTAAATCGATCCTTGATCGATGAATTTCCAATGGGTGACCTCGCGACGCTTCTCCAAAGAGTCGTATCTACGAAACATATATGCGTGACTGCGCGTACGAGCATGGGAAGAGGTGCGAGGCAGGAGTTAGCGTCTGATTTCACTGTAGAGACCAGCCTCTGAGGTTGCTTGGGATCCGTCGGCTTCTTTATCCGGTCCGAGGAAGAAATCGCGTGGGTGGTTAAAGCGCTGCTGTCGCGCGTGGGCGATACGTTATTAACTTCAATACGGCTCGAATCCATCTGGCTGCGTCGAATACGCGACGAACGGGGTTCCTTGGTGGCCTTTCTAGATCGACGTCGCGACGCGGTCGTACACTTACGAGCCGCGGACGGGAACAGTCCGCTCGCCTACTCCATAATCAAATCCTTTGGATTCTCCCCGAGCTGGCGTGGACGGATGGATAGACAGAAAAACCAGGTAACGCGGGTACGTAGACACGTTCTCTTGGTGTCTCGAACTCGGCGTGTACGACATTCGAAGAATGGCGTCGGGTAAAAGTCCATTTGACCGAGATAACTGCCGTGACGATTATGGACTTGCGAAGCGAGGAAGGTACGGGCGTTCAAAAGTACCTACAAAAAGCGCATTCACGTGGATTATGCATCTGTTCAAATTTATATTTCTTTCTATGACTCGATTATCATTTTACCTCCATGCTCCGCTCTTCTCTCTGGAATTTGTATACTCGGATATTGACAGTCACTATTTTCTAACCTATAAAAAAAGACGTGCAACGACACTCCCGTGTAATCGATTACGAATTCATAAGTTCGCGCGAGGTACGTCGTGGCAATTCTCGAGTACACGGGAGTTTTCACGGCATGACGTCATCACTCCCGCACCAGGTTACCTGTCGTGTATTTCTACGCGATTGAGAACGATGCTTGGTTAAGGAGAAACGAAATATAAAAATTCCTCGTGTCAGACTCGTAATTAGTGCATCAAGGATAATGCCTAGCAAAGGAACAGAAATGACTGTGGTTACGCGTGCTGTGCAAATAGATTAAGAATGAGAATGAGTGACTCAAGGAAAGGCTTGGTGTATCATCGGATGTAGCAATATCCGACAACCTTTAATGCGAACATGTAGAGACCGTACGCGCATAAACATGTACGTGGAACGAAGAAGCTTTGACAGCCATGAAATCCTGATACGAAAAGGGCGCGAGTCACTTATTCACTCCGTTAGTCAGTCACTCAGTCACTTGAACGATAGGCGTAACGCTACTCGCATCACAGTGTTGGCTGCTCGCTAAAGTCGAGTCTACTCGAGTGGTATTAAGCACCGATGGTATATGTATTTACGTATAAAACGTAAGAGACGCAAGGGTAAAGCGTGGACAAGATTTGAGTAAAATCGGCCGCGTACGTGTCGTTCGATATTGCCGGTTCCTATTGTGTTGACTAGAGTCGTGCGAGGAAGAAGAAACTAGATGTCCGCCATGTTGGAACGTAACCGTCGCTCGCAGGGAATAACTGCCGGGATCAAAATGTTACTAGGAATTCGAGGTACGGCGCGAGTGATCACGCTTTAAAAGAAATATAATATAATGGTGGACGAAAAGGAGACGAAGAGGCTCCACAACGAGGGATTACACAATTCCCGCCTCAACCTAACCTTTCTCCCCACCAGAGTACGGAGGTAGGAGTCAGACAAACAGGCAAGCAGGCCGAGGCAGGTATAGCACCGTCTTGCAACATAATACAATAATTATGAAATTTGTAAGTTTCTAAACAGAAGTACACTGCGATTTCTGTTGTCCTGTGTGATTTTCCGAGTTACCTGTGCACAGTTAGTCCCGTATATATATATATATATATACCTTTCTGCTTTTATCTGCCTTTTTCCCCGTCTCTCTGTTTCCTTTGGCTTCGACGCTCTCCCGTCATAACAACACTTGAGTGCTTGCTCTCACTTTTACAACACACAGCCAACCAAAAGGTCTCGACACATAATTTTCAAGTTGATTTTCCAATTTTCTCAACTCTCCCGAGACTCACGGAAACGCGCTCGATCGATTCGTAGGCAAAGTCGAAGATAAATTCTCAGATGATTTCCCATGGCAATTTTTTTTTTACAGTATCGCTGTCGACGTTATACAGCGATACTTCATTGACTCGGCCCATAATGCATTTCGAACACTGTTGCACGTGGGGCGCGAAAGTAATCCGCGTAAACAAAAAAATATTTTTTAAAACCTACGTGCCCGTTCATATAAATTCAAACGATATGGATACAGTACAATCAAGAGTGAACGCGTGTGTGCGCGAGGTATCGTATAAACCGGTGAAGAAGTGAATTCCGTGAAATTCAACATGAGAGTACGAAGAATTTACAAAAGGTGTAACACATCGAACTGTCGAAAGATTGACAATTGTAATAACCGGAAAACGAGTATTTCCTATACGGAGTAACGAAGCCCAAGGAAAAATTGACTCAGGGAATTTTCACCAGGTCGACGTATTGCGTCATGGTTTTTGTAAAATCAATAGCTCTGGGGTGTACAGGACGATAACGGCCCGAGGATTTATTTTCACTGAATTCAATTAATAATACCCTTTCTGCACCCTTCGGGTTGATAGCAACCGCGACAATATTTTTTTCCAAATTTTCATTGACGTTGCCGCACCTAACCTCAATTTTCGTAAGAATCGTTCGAGCAGCTTTCATTTAACCACGATACACGTCGACATAGCCAAGGTTCTCGGAGAAGTGAATAATTTTGAAAAAAAATAAAATAAAACAATCCAACGGCCTTACGTAAGTACTTGAATGAATACCGTATGCCGCGTTTCCATGTGACTGGAAATCAGAGATAGAAACGCATCGTGAGAAGCTAATCTGAAAGTGAAGTAGTCCAAGGTTAACGGACAGCAACATCGTAATATTCAAAGTGGTCCATGCGAGACGATAACGCTTTGTACAGTAAACATTGCTCTAGGATTCCTAGTGATATTGTCAGTCGCAAAACGCAAAAACCATCGGAACGCAGGTGGCAATTGTCAATTTTTTACCGCCATTTTGTGTCACCGTGTCAATGCCACTGTCAAGGTCAATAAAGCGTCAAACAATACTCCAAATCGTTAGGTGCCATCGAACGTATCCCAAAAACAAATATTAGACAAAAAAGGGAAAAAATAATTTGCTCCACTCAATTGGCTAAGTAAACGTATGCTGTTGCCACGTCAATTTAAAAAAAAAGGAAACCCCAATTATATCGATAATAGTAAGATTCCTGACCTCGCGCAAAATTTCTCCACTAATATCGGACTATGAAAAAAAAAAAAGAAGAAATTCACACGAATTTAAATAAGCCCATCGATCAAAACGTGACCATAATAATACTCGGTCATACAGTGGACTGACTGAGGAAGAACGTTAGATACGCACAAGTCGAGTATGTCTATACGATATAATAAAGGAAAGATAAGCACAGACAAGAGACAGAATGATAACGAAAGAGAGAGAGAGTGAAGAGAAGAATTTCGTTTTCACGGCTTTCCCTTTTGTCGCAGCCGATGCACGTGGGCTCTGGCCGACTTTTGCCTCGCACTGCACGCGACGTCGCAAACGTAAACAAAGAGCAGCACGGCAGTCGAAAGGAAAGGTTCTCAATTGGCGAAAGGGTTCTCAACCAGAAATAACCGATTACGTAAATACTACAGAGGGAGACGCAAGTTCGATCGTAGCGACGCGGCGTCTGGACGCCATCGATGCTTTTTTTTTTCCCCATCCATATTTCAGTACGATCAAACGAAATCTAATCCAACGAATTTCTCAATGCATTCGTATACACTAATATATATCTATATACAGGGTGTTCCGAAACTACCTGACCCGGTGGGTAAGGCGGTGTTCGGGAGGCTTCACTGATCGCGAAAATGACCTTCTTTTTGTCCGGAAGGTCATAGTTTTTAAATGGGAGCAGGTCAAAGTTGACCAATCAGAGGGAGGCGTCAAGAGAAACGTAGGCACCTGCGAACTCTGAGTTTTCTTCCCTCGCTTTTGTTTCTCGGTAGCTTGTTTCTTGTTTCCAATAGGCATGTCTTCGGCTGACGTCGTTCTGCCCGAAGCCACCGAGAAACATAAGCGAGGGAAGAAAACTCAGAGTTCGCAGGTGCCTACGTTTCTCTTGACGCCTCCCTCTGATTGGTCAACTTTGACCTGCTCCCATTTAAAAACTATGACCTTCCGGACAAAAAGAAGGTCATTTTCGCGATCAGTGAAGCCTCCCGAACACCGCCATACCTACCGGGTCAGGTAGTTTCGGAACACCCTGTATATACAGAAGTACTTGGCGACAGACAGGTCGAGCGCGATGATACGATTGTCCAGATTGACACTTGATTCGATTGCCTGTGGCTCTACGAGAGTACTTCGCGGGTTACCTTTTTTTCTTTCTCCGTAGCTTATCGGCGTCTATGCGATAACGCGGAAGGTTACCTGTGACAATTCCAATGCTACGCGCAAGTGCCATTCTCGAAAGTAGATATACTGGCGACTCGTTACTATACGATCCAACACGTGTGCCAGAGACTATCAGACGAAGACATTGTACATGGTGAGGAAGGGGCGCTAAACAACACGTGGGACTTCCTTTGGGCTTCCATTTTACGAACTCCCGCCGACTGTATGCCTGCCTGATTTTTCTACACGCTCGCGATACGCTCAGTGTATTATTTAATTGACTTATTGGCAACGCTAGGCGTCACTGCGCTTCGTTGGGATACGCGAGAATGGGGAAAGTCGTGGATGGCTTTCTTTTTAGGGTCTTGAATTTAAATAGGAAATGGCGACAAATGGGTTTTAACTCGAGCCGTCCGTAGTCTTTCGTTTGTTTATTATTATTACTTTTTGATCTTATCTCACGTACCATCATCGGACAAGGCCCAATCTAATTAATGAAAAATCAAGGAAGAGACCAAGGGTCTTCGGCTCGAGATCTATAATGAGTTTTCGACAGCACCGACATCTATTAGCGAAACCTGGACTTTCGTTAGGTTATCTAACACGGTGAAATCTCATGCGAACCCGATTCCTTTCAAAAATGTTTGCAGGCATTCTGGAAACTTTTCACGTTAGCCAATCAGCTGTGTCCATATATACACAGAGTGAGAGAGAGAGAGAGAGAGAAAGAGACTACGTGGTTCAAAACACAGTGTAAGACGCACGAGCGCGAAAACATATAATCGTTAAAATCACCACAAGAATATCTATAGGATTGTCGATGGCAAAAGAAAAATTACCTAAAGAGTCGGCTACAATGGCGAAACGTTAACTGTCACTTTTACCATTAAAAGATTTCGACATGTTCCAAGTATACGGGGGGCCCTGACATCCTGTAAGTGTCATCGAAGAGTCGAAATTCTTGAAAATCCCCATAAGGCAATTTCAAGATTCGAATTCTCAACAATTCCTCTATCTCTCTCTCTCTCTCTCACTCTCGCTATCTAAACCCTCTACTTTTCATTTTATTTCAGGTGCTCCAACGCATTCGAGAAACAATCGCGATAAAGGAGATACCGGCATACAGAAAAAGGAATACGAAACATAAGCCGACGCGAAATCCGGCCGAGTGGTGCGGCCCACATAGACGTCACAATAATTCTAGAAAGCAAAAGAACAGAGAGCCGGTGTTAAGGCTTGTCGAAGTCGGTGGGCGTGAAACCGGTGGAAAACGTACCCGGGGTAGACAGAAGTGAAAAAGAAAAAAATTTTTTAAAATAACGCGAAACACGTACGTACATACGAAACGCACTGTGTAGCGCAGAGCTCGCGCACGTACGTAAGCGTCTACGGCGATGACGTTGTTGCGACATACCTCAGAAGTGGTTGGGTGGAAAGAAATAAGAAGCTAGGTGCAAGATCACGGTGGGATTCGACAAGCCCAACAGAGTAAGGTAGTAAGATTAATAAGAAAAAAGAAAGACTCACCCTCAAGCTTCATGCCGACCTCGAGGCACTTCTGGAACCGGCAGAAGGGACAGCGCTTGCGCTGCGTCTTGTCGATGTGACACGATCGCTCGGCGACGCACGTGTAGACCTTTTTGTTTTGGACGGTGCGCTTGAAGAAGCCTTTACAGGACTCGCAGGTGAGCAGTCCGTAATGATAACCGGAGACCTTGTCGCCGCAGACAGGACACAACTCCTCGATGACGTCCTTGGTGTCCGGAAAGTCCGAGGGACCTGGTATGGACCCAGTGACGACACCGACCCCGACCTGACCCAATCCAGGATGACACACTGCACCAACCGGGGCCACATTGTTGGCAGCGATCACTGCGCCTCCAGCACCGGTACCGCTCCCACCACCACCACCACCACCACCGCCGCCGCCTCCTCCGCCGCCACCGCCACCACCACCTCCGCCGCCACCGGCGTACGTCCCGCCATCGAGCCCTGAAGAGGTACCACAGCCACCCCCTGTAGGCGAGAACAGACATGTGTAGACCTTCTTGTTGCTGCAGGGCGAGCTGTTACGCTTGAAAAAGCCCTTGCAGGACTCGCAGGTGAGGAGGCCGTACTGGTATCCGGACATTTTGTCGCCGCACATAGGACACCGTTCCTCGAGGGCGATCGCGTCGAAGAACGCGGCCTCGAAGCCTAGCATGCCCTGAGACTGTGACTGGCTATGGGCCTGACTGAGACCGGATATATGCTGTTGCGGCTGTGTCTGTTGCGGGGGCTGCTGCTGTTGCTGCTGGGGCTGGGGCTGATTTTGATGGCACATCGTGGAGGGCGGACTCTGGGCACAGTTACTATATGGTACGGGCGAGCCGTAATGAGGTTGCTGCTGCTGCTGCCCACCGGCGCCCTGAGGACTACCCTGAGGGCTCAGCTGGAACGGCGACATGTTCAGCGATATCAGGCCCGAATGCTGCTCCATCTCCAATAACATATCACCCTGGGACTCGTAGGACCACCGTCCGCTAGGTGCTCTCGGCACATAAAGCCTAACCTGGCGGCTCGATTACACGAAGACGATATACTCTACGCGCACCCAAAAAAGATCCGGCTTCGCCGGAAACCAGGGAACAGACGTGGACGTTCCTTCCGAGTAGCTAATAACGATCAACGATTCACGTATACACTCTTGTTATACGTAATCGTGGAAGATGCTAAGGACGACGTGTGACAACGTATTCCTTCAATAATTTCATATACGTATATCCTTCTCTTGTCTGGTAAAGGACGTCGCGACGCTGCGACAGGGATACGTCTAATGACACTTGCGTACGTAACGCACGTATATACGTATGCGTATATATGTATATCCCACGTGTGTACGTATACACACACTTTACGCTCACCAGTCACGGTCCACCGGTTCACCAAAACAATCGCACCACGCGGACGAGGGAGCGGTACACCGTCCGATGCATCTCGTCGCGTTCTACTGTTGTCACAAAGATTTTCCTTCCTCGTATTAATCGCCGCTCGCGAAATCAATATAACGAATAACAAGTATCCCGACGATATCGATAATCCAGGGTAACGTTGAACAAAGTCGTCAGTGCCGTACAAGTGTGACAGCACAAGATGTGAAAAACAGCATTTATAAAAAAAAAACCAAACACCTATTCATCAACGATGCTTTTCCTCACTGCAATCCAATTGATCACTCGATACACTATCGATGCACGTAGTACAGGTTCGGACATGAACGATCATATCCAATATCTGTACGACGAAGAAACAGAAAACTCTTAAAGCCCGTGTCGCGATACCGCGTGCGCGATGCTAACTGTCGTCGCGGCGCGATGAACGTGAAGATTTCGGCACAAGAGACGATCACGAGTACGAGGTAGTCACACCAACGTGAGTGCGATAGAGTGAGAGAGGACCCGGAGAGGGAGTATAAAGAAGGGAGTGTGTAAAATGGAGGAATGAGACAAAAGAGTGAGAGACCAAGAGAGAGTGAGCGTGTGTGTTGTGTGTGTGAGAGTGTAAAGAGAGAAGAGAAGAGAAGAGAGAGAGAGAGAGAGAGAGAGAAAGAGAGGGAGGAATAAGCGCGGACTTGCACACCGGGAGCCCTCGAACGAAGCGGCTTGACAAGTCGACTATCTGCGTGCGACTAGTTGTTCTTGCCTCGTTGCTTTCCTGAAGGGCCACCCCTCCCCCTCCTCTCTCGCTCCCAGCTGAGCCTCCCCCCCGGCCACCCCGCCCGCCACGACGCTATTGCTACTCGCTCTCTCACTCCTGGTCACTCTCTCTGTCTCTCTCCCACCCCTTGGCTATACCCAGAGCGCCCCTCTTACAATTCCTAACGAACTAACACTGCACCTCACGACCCTACCGGACTTCGTCCTTAACGCATATTAATTTTATATATATACATATTTTATCGTATCATTGTATATCCACCTTTTCATATAATCTCAACGTAATATACGTAATACAATGTATAAGAATTTTAACCTATTCGTCCGTATTGTATATCCGTACCGGTCTTACGGAACGGCCTGTAGAACGCGAGCGCGGCAAGAAACGGCTTCTATTTCGTCTATCCTCGTGTACAGTCGTGTATAGTCGCGCGTACCGGCGAACTAAGCAACACAGTGCACGGCATAAGTGAAAGTGATTCAGCAGCGCATGCCAGCGCGCGGGCTGCGCGCCGACCACGACGACGACGACGGGCAGCAGCAGCAGCAGCAGCCAGGTGCCTCTGGAGTAGTAGTGGTGTACGGCGGAGGTGACTTCGTCATGAGGCTACACTACTAGAGGATCGGGACGAGGAGGTGGACCATGCTACGACGACGACGACAACGGCGGCGGCGATGACGACCGACGCCACCACCGACGGCGCAGCAGTAGCTGTGTATACGATGACGATCATGAGAGGGAGATCCGAAGTAGTGGGGATGACCCACTTACGGAACCAGGTCTATGTCGGCCGAGGAAATATTGTCCGTCTATACGACGGATTGCCATCCGTTGGAGAGAACGATACGCTTTTATTTTTTTATAAGATTCCGTCCACGAGGCATCATACTTGCTCGTAATCACTCTCGAATGAGATATTGAATGACTTTTTGTATACGTCACGTAGAAGAGTTTTCAACTGTTAAACCGTTGCTGGGCATTCGACGTGACGGATGATCTTTCTTGCGAGACTGGATTATCGATACTGAAATATACGCCTGGGACTGGATAGATACTGGAAATTCATTCCAGGTATAATCGAGACGAAGACGCGGCATTTAGATTGAAATAAAGCTCTTGACGCAACATTCATAAATTAATTCTCTCGAGTACTGTAGGACTGGTGCTCGATGTTTGAACCAAGATAGAAAATTCGTTTAAATGAAGACATATATTTTCGGACGGGACTCTTGCTTTCGCGGAACAGTCAGGAGTCTGATCTACGATCAGGCATGGCAATCAGAGCAGTCAGGGCAGCCACAGGAACAGCACGCAGAGCACGCAGGAGGCCGCACAGGCCGTGGATGGGTCAACAGCAACGCCGTTGGCACTCCCCGACAGCTAGTGCCTGGCTTTGTGTATGCCGGAGTAGATGTGCGGACAGAGCCTGGTGGGGGGACCCACTGACCCAGTTCGCTGAGAACATGACGCAGCCGCGACTCACTCCCTCTCATTATCTCTCTTTCTGTCTTCTCTCTTTTATACCCCTGGCTCAGTCTCTCTCTCTCTCTCTCTCTCTCTCTCTCTCTTTCTCTATCTTCCCGCCTCTCACCGCTCGCTTCTTACCGCCTTGCACATATACGTTACACGTATATACATTGCTCGTGCCGATCTTCCACTCTTGTCCTACACGTATCAGAATCCGCATAGTCTCTACTCTCTTACTCTCGCGGTAACCCATCCGACACGGTCTTGTATTCCTATACTGCTATTCCTTTCTCTCTCTCTTGCTTATCTATCGCGCGCTGCAGTCTCTCTTTTTCTTATCTGTCCCATACGACGCGTAGACTTGCACTTCTGCAATTATGGCGCGCGCGCAGATGCATAACGTAATGTATGAAATGCAAGCGACTGGAATGATGTATTTAGAAAATTTTTTCAAAAAAAAAAAATTTTTAGTTTAAAAAATTTTTTTTCTTATATTTACCAGGAGTATTGGTATAAAAGAGGTTCGACTTTTTTTTTTAACTATTCCTTCTTTCAGTTCGTGTATGCTTGTGCTGCCCTCAGGTATATACCAATTTTGCCAGGTAAAATTATGCCCGAACGAAAGGGTTACGACGTGGGATTTCGCTTGTGGGATGAGAGAAAAATGAAAGAAAGAAAAAACAACGTCGTCAGTGAATGGACGAAAGCGAGAATAACGGAGATCAGTGTCTGAACGAAAGCGAAGCCTGACCTACTGAATTCTAAATATGCTGAAAGACGGCACGGACGAAATTCCTACTGGCGCTGAAGAAACGTCCCGTTTGAACGACACGCAGGCACTACCCAGATAAAGACTACGAGAGTCAGTGCAACAATTAATAACAATTACGACCGACGTCGGTATATTGATATATATATATATATATTACAACAAAAATGCATAAAAACGATATTTAATAATGCAAAACATTTTTCATCGTTGGCCAAGTAACCCGGAGCAACAAAAATAAATAAAAATAAAACGTGCGCACTAAGGATTATCTCGACTAACTTTGTACGACAGTAAAACATCGCGTTCCCATCTCCGTGACATTATTATGCATGTATAACGTATACACTTATCGCCTCGTTCGAAGTATATTTTTATCACTGACCTACATGATGCTGGGCAAGTGTATGATACAAAAAAAAAAAAAATAAAAAAGAAAAGTAAAAATTTGTAAAGCCTATTAAAAGCGTGAAAAAAAGTTCTTGTAAGACATAACCTAAAAATCCGCAATAAAAAGTGTCACAAAGGTGTCACTGATTTTCATGCGTCTATTAACACTGACAAAATAGACTATCGTCCTGTCCATTATTCCAACGGTTATTCATTACTATTATTATTATTAATATTTAATATAAAAATTATTCCAACAGGTACCCTGTGGTTCCTATAGCTGTCTCGCACCGTCAGGGCCAAGCGCGGCGCTAAATTTCATGAAGTTGGTACACAGTGCCGAGAAACTAGCTGGGTCGAAGTGTAACGTTGCGAAAGGCAAATTTGGGAATATGTACGCAAGAGAACTGATCGCCGATCAAAGCAAACGTGCAACGGCAGGCTTAACGACCGGTGAAAACGACACGGTCTGATAAACGAGGGAAATAAAATGAAATGCAAAAAATTCATTTCAGGTGCCGCGACACGCTTCGTTAGGAAATTATTGCCACTGTGGTTTCGCGAGACTTCCTCGTGCCTGCTGACAATTCGACAAACTTCCTGCCTGGTTTTAATATGCCCTTTGACGTACCAGGCGTGATACTTATATGACAAACGGAATTCCTCTTCTATGTTATTATTAATTAAAGATCGATTGTCATTTTGTATTGGATATTCTCATCGTGACGCAGAGTCGTGCCTAAAGGAGCTTTGAAAAGATGCCGACGGTCACGACATGCCTAATACCTTCTAACGTTACGTAGGCATGCCAGTACCTTACTTGTAATATTTGTCACAAGTATTTAGAGTCGTGTACGTGTGCCTTTTCATTATTGTATATATATATATACATTTATACACACAAAATACTTTATATATATATATATAGTATATATATTTTCATGCGTCTCCGTGTGTAAAAATATATATCTGCATATATATGCAGATATGCTTATGTGTGCAAAGTGTGCCAAGGCCTGTCCCACTCTGCAATCCCATTTTCGAAACTAAAAGTAAAATCTAACTCATTGTGTCGTTACCAATGGCGTTACCGTAATATATTTATGGCACGTTTTATAAGCGCTTAAAGAAAAGTGCGTCCCATTGGGGATCATATTTTTACGAATCTGTCGCAACGGATCTAGCGGACGAATTTAACGGTCTTTTACGAAATTCTATATACGACCAATAGGAATCGTCGATAGGGATAAAGGAGATAGTGAGCGAGCCAATCACAGAGCGCAGTTTATAAGACAGAGGTATGAGAGTCGAGGTTCGAAGGGAATTATTAAAATATGTCAAAATAAGCAGATAAAGAAAAACAGAAGATTTCATCACGCGTCTCCTTCGAGCATTCTTCCTACGCCAAAAGGTAAGACCTTGAGCGAAAAATTCGATAGGGATCGATCAGTACTCATGCATTATCCACGACCTTATCCCAGAATCGTAACGAGCGACAGTCGCTCCTCCTTCGATCGGGCATCGTCGCGTCACGACGATTTGCCAGCGCCGCCGGCACCTCTGGCGGATCGTACGAGTACTAGTGACAATTGACTGTTTATTAGCAAATGTCGAGTCCGGGAGAGAAAATTCGTGGAGTAAACGTTTAAACCTGAAATTGCGTCTACGAGTTTGTTCGTGTAGTAACATTGGAGATTTCCTTTAGCGACAGTCGAGACCTTCGAGATACTCGGGTGATATCTAGTCGTTCCGTTAGAAATCGGCTTTTATCACAACAATGATTCTCGTCTCTACGTAAGAGACAAATGCATGCGACGTTAACCTCTAAAAATAGTAAAACCAATCTCTTAATTTCCATAGGGAATTCGGAATAACCCTCCCCGCTCCCGCCCCCTGACGTCTGTACGTAGAAATAGTCGACCAAGAAATGGCTTCTCGGTAGCGTCCGGTTTTATTCGCGAAACGCGAACCGCCGTTTTGCAGCCCAGTTCGCACGTCCTTGACACAGTTACCCACATGGGGCTACCAGCAGGCGTCGCTGTGTTTGCCAGCGTCGCGACGGCGCACATAGTATCACCTGAGTGTGTTGGTTACGACACGGGGCACGATGCTGAAGTCAGGAATAGAGCGAGACAGCAGGAGGGACACGAGGCTCGTAGAGTCACCATTTATAACGTACAACTATATACACACATATATATATATATATATATTCCAGCCGCGATGAGACAGTCTACTTTTTTGATCGATGCGCAAATAAGACAAGAGATTCAAGACGGACGTAGAAGTCCGTCGAAGATTTTTCTTTTTCCTACGAAGAGTACCGGATATCGAGGGTACCGAGAGTGAGACAAAAAAATGTAAGGAAAATATTTAAGAGAGAGTGCGACTTGAGTATCCCAATTATACAGCCTGTTGCGTGTCCGCCCGAAGCACGCCATACCCTTAAGTGGACGTGGTGCCATCTACAGAGAGAAGCCGGGGGGTTTATACGAGGTACGGAGTGTGGCGTTTACAGTGGGTATAATAAGGTACGTCGCTGGAAAGGGCGAGTCGTAAATTAAGGGTGGGTGTAAATATTTTGAAAGCGTTTTCAAAATTGGCTTAACGAATTACGTGCAATTCGTAACGGTAATTCCTAGTGACCCAGTGACCCTGAGTTACCACCGTCCTTTAGAAAAGAGCCCTTGTCTAATATCCCTCTCTCTTCATCTCTTTTTTCATCTCGCAGAAGAAGCGCTTACGAAAACGGGCAGGAACTTTCTTATTTTATGGTTGACAATTGTCCCGAAGTGGACACATGCCAGCCATGAAGTTACAAAACGGCGTACACCAAGTAGCCACGGCAGAGGACGGATAGCTCCGCGCCCTCGGACGGTAAAACCAGTTATTGAGGCTGTAAAGCCAAAATTTATTCGTCCGCAGGAGTATCGTCCGAGAAGAAGAAGTAAGAAAGAGAGAAAAAGGAGAAAGGATAGGTAAACGAAAAAGAAAAGAAAAAAAGAACATTAAATAAACACGAACCTACGTACGTCAATCGAAAGAAAAAATGGCCACTGAACTAAAATTACTTTTCTTACATTCCCCAGGATTCAGGCTCAAATCCATTTCACCTTCGCCCTAATAAAACAGGCACGCATCCACCGAGACGTAATCTGACGGAATCCACGGTAAAGAAACAACCCGACTCGAAATGAAGATTGCTCTGACAATTCCAAAAAAAAAAAAACAACCAACATGGCAACACGCAGAGCGACTACCAGTAACTACCTAATAACCATTACGATTGAAACAAGCACTCGTCGAAGGTCGCACATGTGAGTCGAGATCTCGCACGCCATTACGACTAGGTACGGGGACTAGTAATAAGGAGGGCATAATGGGAGCCATAACAATTCCAAGCAGCCCGGACGAAAGCCTGTCAGGTATAGGAGTCTCGAGCAAGGACTAGGTCGCACTGGGAATATTTTCAACTTACAGCTACCGAAAGCCATCCGGGGCTTGTTACATTGTCCACGATAAAGCCGAAGGCATTTTAATTCATTAAAATCAGCCAGGAGGAGCCACCGCGAAAGAAAAACAAAGGCGCAACGTGGTAAATCCAAATGCACCTCAATAGCGTCCCACGCGTTCATAACCTACAAATAAATTTACAAAGTGAACCTGCGTCTCCGTTACAGTCCATATATATATATATACATACATACAGGATGTCAAAGCAGGTTTTCCTTACGACAAGCCAGTACAGCAAAGACACAGCCAAGCAATGGTAAGCGACCGCAAGTGGGAGAAAGTCTTTCACGTGTAGCCAAGAAGCGAGGAGGCGCGAAAAGTGACGCGGCAACTCTTACTTTCTTCCCGTGCGTTCCTTTCGTTGGCAATGGAACTAGTTACGTCTGTTACGTTATGCGGTTACGAGAGGTACGAGGGAGGAGGAGCTACTACCTCGAGAGCCCCGTGAAGTAAGCCACTCTCATCGACTCTCCTTTCTCCGTCGGCACTGTTACGGAACAGCGGCCCTCTCTCTTTCTCTTTCCCGTACTTTCATCCCGGCCGTCCACGTAATGACCAAGCCGAGTAGGTACGCCGTCGAGCTCCAATTATCCTTACTCCTCTATCTCGTTACGTGTACTACTTACCTCTCTCTCGCTCTTTCTGAGATACCAACAAGAAATCTACCTGGCAACTCCCTCGAGACAAAGAATACCCAACGATGTTACTACACGCACCACTGACTCCGCGTATATATTTCCACTTGAACACGTGTCCGGCCTTAACGTCTGTGCGTATATATATATATATATATATGCTTATGTACGGCCGCACGCAATAATAATTATCCACAAAGGGGAACGACGGATATATATATATATATATATATATGCTAGAGCGTGCAATGCACTTGCTGGTAATTGCTTTCGTTTCGGCACGACGCATCGCCATTGCGATTGTCTTGAAAAAAGAAATATATATACATATATAGTATATCGACCGGATAAGGGTCGATGGTTACTCATTAGACGCTCTTACGTGGCAAGATAAGCGATAAGCGTTCTGTGACAAGAGTTAGACAGTGACAGTATCCGTGAAGTATACGTTAAAAAGAAATTATAAAACGAACCGACAGATGGCGCTTCTGTCGAAAGAAAAAAATAAATAAAATTAGCATCGATACATTTTTACGTAGATACAGAAGGTGATCGGGTTGAGATAAGAGTCGCTGATAACGAGGTCAGGATCGTCATTGGGAATGATCGTTAAAAACAGGAAGCCGTATGTCTGCCGCTTATAGAGCCGTCGCGGGTAGCCATCGTTTGGCGAAGAAGAATAATCGGGTCAAGTTGAAGGGATGGCGGCTGAGTTGAACGCCGGAGGCTCGAGTTTGACGTTTCTCTTGTTGGGGTCAAAGGGTGCGATTAAGGGGACGAAGGGGACGACTGAAAGATAGGAGAAAGAGGCTACGAAGGGTTCTCCGAGGTTAGTTGATTTAACGTAGGGTTAAAGCGGGACTGATCCTCGGATGCTGAGGATCCCGCTGTACCCGTGGGCCAAGACTTTGAGGAAGTCTTTCCTGAATCTTCCTACCGGCATAATTATATAGCCGATGACGAGCTTTATCAGTTGCGATAACGTGCGCGATAACGAATGTAGGTCAGTTTGATATGACTGACCTGATTCTTTGCTGGCTCCGCGTTACAGCGTTCTCAGTTCGCATGCGTAACTACCTATGTATACCTCTGGCTTTGGCTATGATATATATATATATATATATATATATATATTGACACATTTGTTATATATAATGCATAGACCGTGTACATAATGCAATATGTATGCAAGAGTCGTCATATAGATATACAGTTATCATTGCGCCAAGTTGAAATTGTGTATTGCCATGTTTATTTTCGCTATATATATATATATATACATACATATATATACCATACGTCCAATTACGTAATGACTAGAGCGCACGTCGCTCGTACGATACGCGATCGCGATCCTTGTCATTCCGGAAGAAGTATCGGACGCTCGAAGCGATAGCTGAGGTCTTTTCGCGGGTCGCCGCTATCGATAAGATTGCTTAGAGCGATATCAGTGCTTGAATATAAATGTCAGAATGCGATTGGAATTATTGTATTACCGTCTGAAGATGCTTCATTCATGCTCGTGCGAAGTATAAGTTGACGTTCGTGTGTCTCGCTTCTGCATTCTCGAAGCAGAAGACAGCAGCAGTTACCATGTGGATGGTGTGTGTAGTTAAGGAGACAGACAGGAGGCATGAGGTCTTGTACACGAGGTAGACTCCCCGGGAGGTGGGAGAAGCCCACCTACGGTCACCGCTGAATCGGCGTTCATAATAATAGACGGATAATATATAGAAATGTTAGGTTAGCAAGAAGGCTCGTTCGTTCGCGCCGCGCATGCGCCTCACTCGCTCGGTTCTCATTGACCCAGTTACCCAGTACACTTGACCGCACTCCGTTCCCGTGATACAGCGTCGTCCCTAGCCGGTATAGCTGCAACACAAACCCGCCTTCTCCACGAGCAACTACCCACCTACACTGAAGCGACGCGTATCCCTCTGGATTAGTACGGAGGAACTAGAACCAATATCAACCGTTTGTGCCGGCGGCGAATTCTTGCGCGAACCCCCTACTCCCACCCCTCTTGCGCCGCCCCAGTGCCCGCAGGCACGGCTTGGCGTCGAGACGCCCTTGCGCCAATAACTCCCTGGGCCATATTGGACGCTTCTGCGAGAACGGAGGGAAATAACTAGACAATGCAAAAAAAGGACTTGGTACGACGTCGCTGAGAATATTTCTTGGGGAACCTCTGTCGATGTTGTTATAGATGTTGTCGATGTCGATAGGTTAGGTTACGTACTGCGTCCACTTGCTCTTCGGAGTGGACGGAATCGTACTGTCTTATTTTAAGAATAAAGGTGACAATATCGCGTATACGTAGAGTGCGTCGATTTTGTTTGAAAAAAAAATATATATGACTCAGCCTGTCTCTGGGGACTCGGTACCGGGTTATTACCAAGAGAGACCGATCGGGAGAGAATCCTGGACAGTGGATATTAATGGTAAAAACCATATCTAGGATGGTGATTAGATAAAGACTACGAGACTGTGCATTCGACTAGACGTATTGCAGATTAATTTTTTTTCTCCCCCAAGATACTTTTTCTTTGTTATTATTTGTCCGTATCTCGTGTCACTTATCGAGATTTCGTCATGGCTTATCATGCATACAGGTATCCTTGCCAAGCAAGCCTTTTGGCATCTATGAAAATATTTTACTCGTGTCTCTACGATCTACTTGGTACAATGAAGCGTATTAATAGCCGACACAATAACCGTGTGTTGTATTGCGAAATATATTGTTTACCTTATTACGTCCCTTATTCGTGTATCTTAGTCGTAAGCATTGCTGGACTTACGTGTCGTTCGATTAGCAAAGCTCGGATCGACAGGAATTAGGTAGTAAGGAGTAAAGGAGTAAGCATTAACCAGTAAAGCCGTGAGTATAGCCACTTGGTATTGCACCGGCGCAGCCTTGAGCCTATTCCACGCACGAGAGACCCCGCAGCACGCCTGGCTGCACGCCGCACTTCGAGAGACCCGCCGAGACTTGCCGAGCGTCACGAAAAAAAAAGAGAAGAAAAGAGAGAGAAAAAATTTGAACAAAAAACAACGGACAAGACTCGTAGATGAATCGACAGTGGGCCAAATAAGATTTAACGAATTAAATATTATGTTGGTATACCCCTCAAACGGTTTCTTCGCGAGACCACAAATATTTGACACTTTTGAGGTTACCTTGGCGTCGGATCGTCGTCTCGGCAGCAGTACGAACAGAATGCTATGGCTGTACAATAAATTTAGAGTGATATATTCGTGTCAGGCCCTCGGGGCCCTTTTCCACGTCAAGGTCGTCCCCGGGTTGACGCTGCGGGCGCAAAACGTGTCCACGGCTGATCTACCGGCGTAGGGCAATTTTTAAATGTAAACTTGTACAGACTCAGAGTGCCCTTTTTCTCTTTGATCCTTTCGTTTCTTTCTTTCTTAATAGCTTTACTTTTTTTTTTTTATTTCGTCACACACAGCTAAGTAGGTCGGTACCGCGAATCTGTTCGACCGGGAAGATGGCGGCGCTGCGAAAATTATATTTTCACGAGAGCTGAAGTCCTTGAATGCTCGTCGAATTTAAAACGGTTGTAACCAACGTATCTTGGAGAATGGGTATAAATAAAATAATACTGATCTCCATCTATCGTCTCGACAAAGAACCAGGATGAACCAGGATGGTACGTCGTAAGTTCATTTGATATCCGAAAGTTCCCCGTCCACTCCATTCCCTCTTTGCTAGACCAGGAAAATAGCCGGAGGGTCGACGAACCTAAAAGGGCCCCGTGGGACTCACTGTGTACAGTCTATTAAGAAAGCGTAATAGTCCGTCGTTAGACACGCCAGTATTTTCACTCGAGTATACGTTCGCGGACAAAGGCGGGAAATTTAAATGAACGGTAAGAAAAATTTTTATTTTATTACAATTTTTTACGCTACTTCAAAGAAAAGGCAGTAAAACAGTCTTATGAAAAATTTTAATTCTGTAACAGGTGCCTTGAAGATGACGGGTATCTCCTCGATCCTGGTAATCGTACCCAGTCACAATTTTCCACACGTGCAAATGATCCAGACAATTGACGTATTTCGTACATATAATCCCCGCTAAGTTCCAACGTGAGAATCGCAATGCGCTCGTCGGCTCAAGCTATGCCTCGGTATAAAAGTGGAATCTAGGCCGATATAAATAGGCTGACGCTGTGGAATAACAGGTAGCCGTAACGCTGGACAGTCGTGAATAACGAAAAGACGTAGAGCGGCATCTCAATCTAGTCTAACCTAAGAAATTCTAGAACGAAGCCTAATGTATCTATACACCTATGTATATGTATACACGCAACCAAAACGTCGGACTTTAGCAACTAAGCCCTTGGACGTATCAATAAACTAAAGAAAAAAGGTCAAAATCATGAATATTTTCCACGATTTTACCAACGACGTCAATCATCCCCAAACTAGTGAAAAAAAAAGTGCATTGACATAGAAATCCACAAAAAGATTAAAGTCCGTCACGTTAAGTCCTGTACGGATAAGAATGCTACAAAAAAAAAGAATGATTTCTTCAACTGGAGCAATTACCCAAGTGTCAACGACATACTTCGAAATCATGGCTGCATTTTTCATACGGCTATAATACACGTGGGGACACTACAGGCGTGTACGCAAAAGTCGACGAACAACACCGCGGTGCACCGGTAAGTTCCAAGTGTTTGCTGAGAGACAACGGGTTCCGCTTCGGTGCACCCGTCTACCATTGTGTGTCTCGTGAGAGGAGAGTAGCGAGGTAAAAGAAAAAAAAAAAAGAGAATTAAAGAAGGGAAAGAAAAAAGAAGAGAAAAGATTTAAAAAAAAAAAACTAGAGCCAGCCAGAGAGAAGAAAGTAAAGACGCGTACAAAGTCCGCCCACTTGAATATTGCCACCGTCCCAATTCCGCCATTATGCCGTCTTTCCATAGCGACTTACCGGAGGAAACGATTGCATCCCCTATATTCAAGTGGAACGAGACGCGACGAGGCGAATGACTCGGCACGTCGCTCCCTCCCTCGATTGTACGAATTTTCATGAGCGCGACGTTACGCCGCAAGTGCACCGACAGATTCGTATGCACGCGGTGCAGCAGACGCACGGGGTCCCCGGTGTCGTTGGGTTGAGACAACGGGTTCCGCTCCGATGCACGTAGCCACCTTTGTCCGAAAGAGAGAGAGAGAGAGAGAGAGAGAGAGAGAGAGAGAGAGAGAGAGAGAGAGAGAGAAAAAGCCAGGGTGACAAAAAGGAAGGAGAGAGACGGAAATAAGGAGAACGAGAGAGAGAGAGAGAGAGAGAGAGAGAGAGGGGAAGATAAAAAAACAAAAAGGCGAACGAGACCCCCGCAGTGGAGCTATTGCCACTGTCCCAATTCCGCCAACTATTGTGCCACTCGATTTCGATTCGCTCTGCAACATGGCCGCCGGTGTCGCATGAGATATTGGAAATATTCAAAGGGTGCGCACGTTTCATAAACGTGAAATCGGGAGCGCCGCGAATCCAGGAGTTTCGATCGGCCGATTCACGTTCGTTTCGAGAGAACCGCCATGTGTGTCCTTGTCTTACGCACGCGACTCGCGATATCCCCGTCTCCCTCGCACTCACGGCTGGTATAGGAATACGCAAAAATCCAAAGGCCAAGGGACCTGCAGCCAGGAGTCCAACCACTCGATACGGACTATTCTCTTATTGGTCCAATAATTTTATATGTAGCTTGCTTGTCAAATTCAATAATTACTGCAATCACATTGCATAACCCTTTTATACGTATACGGTGCACAAGGGAATTGCTAAATATACATATATACTCTGTGACCCGTAGGCTGGCACAAGAGGGTGAAAGAATAAAAAATCCCATGCCTGGCAAATCTCCGGCTCACCTATCTCAACTGACCCATAACAGACTGAATGCGCGCTTAACGCATTTCCCCTGCGTAATTACGATGACGTATCTCTTACCCCGTAAGCCTCAGCATCGTCCACGCTCGTTCCAGGTATTCGCTAAATATAATAAGAGACGCGAACGTGACTGCCGCGGCGAGACACGAAAGAGGTTAGAAACGCGTGGCGTACGTAGGTAAGATTGCCACAGGTAGAAGAGGAGGCGAGAGAAGCGTCACGACGTGAAATTTCGTATGCGCAATGTGAAATATTCATTACAGCGAACATGTACTTTTAAAGATTACCGTACGTTATGTGAAACGTACAGGATGCACTCTTATTAATAATAATCATTGTTTTATCGAATTCAACATTAGGGAGATTACCGTTGACCTTTTGGGCGCGTCCGTATCGCACGTGTCTGACGTGAGACACTGCGCCATCGGACGTTGTTGTGACGAACTATCTCGAGGATGTCAGGGAGGATTGTTTTGCCAACTAATAATTCCCTAGGGACATTGCCGATCACGTTCCAGGTATATTTTATCGGGCATACCCATAACGTGGGTGTGTATATTTTATATCTGAAACTC